CATCATCGACAGAGGTTCGGTCATTTTTAAAACGTGAATGCCACACAAAAGTTTGCGGACTCCCCAAATGCTTGCTTTAGGATTTCATAGGTTTCCGTAGCCGTTTTGGCGAGTCTTTGGCAAAATTTGATGCACACGCCATTCCGAAATCGCAGGAGGGTCGGTGTAATGCACTACCAAAACGCCCGTAACTAAGAAACAAATGCTAATTCGATGATGCCGGCTGGCACACTGATTCACTATGAATGTAGGCCGCACCCCCTAAAGGCAGAAGCTCGTACTATATCCGGTTCGCCCGCTATTGACACAGTCTGGAAACTTTCCGATCGCACCTCGTAGGTCGTTTTAGAAGAAACCACACACAAGATCATACGGCAATAAAGCCCACAAGACCATATTCAATAATACCCATACTGTTTACAAATATAAGAATCGTTCAAAGCGGAATTTTCCAAGGTCAATTACAAGAGAATTAGGCACAGTACAACAGTGTTATTAGTAAACTATCGTGTGTTGTAACACTGTGAAGTGAATGAGATGCAAATGTGTGACTAGGTGTTAAAATAACACACCCAGACACTAAGGAGACGAAGCCATGAACTAGTCATTCCTCTTGCCATAATTCTGACCTCGCACTAAATGCCATTTATATGCTGACTGAAATAACAGCTTACAAATTAACAAATTTCAACACGTTTCTGATATTTAAGCAGCCACAAAAACGATTAAAAACTGACCTCACGCTTTACTCGAACGGCATCTCACAACACAACAAATATCTGAATCTGGGAGGAGACTTACAAAAAAATAGCAACAAGTTCTTTACATGCCTGCAATACTTGCCTTGCAGTAAAAAAGTTTATTAGAAAGCACACTGTAAATTTATTTTCTGAACAATCCTCGTGTGTAAGCGTCTTACCGGTACCCAGAATCAGGCAAGTACTGCTGGGTAACTTCCATGACATCGGATGGTCGTGGAATAGTGGCGTAAGTTCCGGCCAATCCACCACAATGCCTATTGACGCGCGAACAAAACATAAACTTCGGTCCGAGATTGAACAGCTAATCAGTTATGTAACGCAGAAGATCCACTTAAAGGCCCTCGTCTTATACTTACGTCAGTGTTGATAATTGCTGGCGGGCGAAAATTCTTTTATATACGGTACCTTAGATGTTTTCATACTAACATACATCTCAATTAGGCAGGATGTGTTACTCAGAAAAGTTACTGGCTACCTACAAAAACGGGAAAACGTTCCTTGCAGAGACAGGATTCTTCACTAGCTCACTACATCCAAACAAACCCCAAGGCCCACCCAGCCCCCTATCCAACAGGCACAAATGTATATGATCGGCCAGGGCGAGAATGTGACAACTTAAACATTCCTTGCCAATGCTTAGAGCTTTTACTTCCAGTAAGTCAAATGTATACATTGCTGCCACCTACCTCCATAAGCCATAAAACAGTTTCTAACACAGCACTCTCCAGGGTATTAAAGTGTTTCAATACAAGATACTGAGCCAAACATCCACAGAGATAGAGACACATGTTTAATATGGAATGGTTTAGAAACTTTGAGCTTGTTCCTTTCCTGTTGTGCATGAACATCCACCTCTCAGTGGCAGTGGAATTGTACACTAAAACACAGTCAGGACAATGGTGTCTGTTGAGGAAAAACCTCAACTTCTGATACATGTACGGAAGAAAACTCTTGGTTACTGTGCTGGTAATTTGTAATCAGCCAAGTACCATCAAAAGGGAAATCCAATGTAGATATGGTTATTTAGTTTAATTTCTTGTATGTTTAATTTAGATGCTGGAATTAAATATTAAGAACGTAAACAATATAGGTGAGTAATAATGATGATTATGTATATTTACATTTTATTTCAATGAAGTATACTGAATGCAAAAAGGAAGGTTCATCTGGGACTGTCAAGAAGACTTAAGTAATCTCTGTGAATGTTTGGCAGACAAAAACTGCTCTTGTCTCCCAGATTTTATAGTTTAAACCAACAAAATAGACAATTTTATGTACTGTGAACATTCGTATTTAAAGATGGTGGAAACCCAGTACTGGAAATAAATAACATACTAATTAAAGCCAGTGGTGTCCCAACATTGGAAATAAATAACAACAGTACAGTAGATTCCGGTTAATCAGGGCAGCCATTTATTTGGGACAAATCTTAAAGAACAAACCTTCTTAACTCTTTACGTGGAACCTCATATATATGGGACAGCCGCTTAATTGGACCAAAGTGTTCTAGTCCCGATGTGTCCCAATTAACCGGAATCCACTGTATTATATATAATAGAATTTATAACCAGTAATGTTTGATAATTTCATAAAAAAAATTCTTTAAATTTTTCATCGTATAAATTACAATCAGAAATAAAAAATGTTTCTGAAGCTGAATCGTCTTCAGGTAAAAAGATCCAGTTCTCATGCTAGCTAAACCAGGGACCAACAGCTAGAGTTTGTGTCCTTTCCTTTTTAACTGAAGACCGAAGAAGATTCATCTTCTGCACTGGGATACTGGGAACGACCCGTTCTTCAAGTGCCTGAGCACTGTGGGTCCCAACTTTTCGTTGGCTCGATCTATAGACATTCGGTAGGACTCCTTGGACGAGGGATCGGCCCGTCGCAAGGCTTCTACCTGTACACAGGACAGCGCAACACAGAAAAACGCGGACAAACATTCATGGCTTGAGTGGGATTCGAACCCACGGTCCCATTGACCAAGCGGCACAACTGAAGGGGGAAGTGGAATTCATAACAATTACATGTATCTGAACCTTGGAGGCTCAGAATGTATTTCAACTGATAAATAACTCAAATAAGCCTTTTGAAAAATTTATCATCCATTTTTACAGTGGCATGAATCCATATTAACTACAGCCAGTAGTTGGGACAACACTGAATTCTTCTGACTAATGTGAGGTTAATACAAGACAGCACACTCACCGATCAAATATCCGCGCTTCTTTCAGTACATTGCCAAGATTGATGTATGCATCCAGGAAGTTAGGATCTAGAGCGACAGCTTTCTCAAAGTGATGTATGGCCAACCAGATCTCGCCTTGAGCATTGAAGACACAACCCAGGTTGCTCCACGCAACAGCGAAGTCAGGACGAGTTTCAATGGCTTTCAAATAGCATGCCTGTATGGACAGAAAGGGTCATGGAGGATGGATGGGGTAAGGGCAAGGGGAAGAGATGAGTCAAAATAGAGTGTGTACTGGCCAGACTGGAAGATATCCAGCGCTAGCAGCTAAATGATGCAACGCGCAGGTCCCGTTCCTTCGCCAAGCGCACTCCTCAAATCTCTCCTTCAATGTTCACTCTGCCTGGTAGCAGAGAAAATCAGTACCTAGAATTCTACACAAATAGTTCTCACTACTTGGGCAGGAGAGAACACTGAGAGACCCAAGGAAAAATCTATAATGTTAAGAAGCTGGTCTCCAAATTCAACTAACTGTAATTTTTAATCCTATATCTCTGAAAACACAAATTAAACTAAAATGAAACTGCATTCTGAAGACGAACTTCCCAACAATATTTTGCAAAGCGCTCCCTACTTGTAGCATGCCTGAGATAGGTGAACCCCACATTCAGTCCAATGTGACTTCTAGCCAGAAATATATATTATAAAAATTCAAAGAAATAATCTTTGTCAGAACCTCAACTGTTTCTGAACGCACAGAGCAGAGGCCAAGCAATCTCAGTCACACCAGTGAACATACAGCAGTATCAGCACTTCATGTCCCAGTGCCAGAAGCAAGAACATGATCACCAATCCAACTGCAGGGTCATTAAGAAATTGAGGCTGAACATAGCTGCCATCTCCCACACAATGCTAACACCACTGCATTGAAAACAAGTCCATTCTAAAACCAAATTATAGTTTATTCGAACAAGCAGTGGTTAACATCACTATATGCAGTTGGCAGCTATGTTGGGTGGTCGCGCAGGGTGAGTGCAGCTTGCGCAAGGTTGCAGTCGCCAATCTCTGCCTAAGCGCGCAGGAAAACGGGGCCTCACCATAAACAACACAAACACAAGTAAGTGTTTTGTTATTTGCTCCATAACCTAAAACACACAAAAAATCAGCAGCAGCATTTAATTTCTTGGCTGTATATAGAAAAGCCAGTCTCCTTTGGGAAGTATTAAAAAACATGTCAAATTTTATCTTCATAAGGCCTGTGACAAAAACTGAAAAATAACTGAAAATAATGTAAAAGGATTAATTTGTTCTGTTAACTACAAATAATATCTGTTGTCTATTCCATATGCCACCCTACAATCCTAGTTACTTCTGAGTGGTCTGTTGGTTTGTGTATTCAGCATGCAGAATTAAGCACATACTTCAAATAAAAATTTTCATGCACCATGCATGCCCAGTACATGAAGTTGTTACTTTATATAACAAATACCAATTAAATTTGAAAATAAATGTCATGATTAATTTCAAAGTTAAAGGTCATGTTTAAAAAAATTGTTTAGACTAGTGTTAATGAAAATTAATGGGGATTTTATGTGCGGTGACTAGGAAATCAATGAAATATAAAGAAGTTATAATAGAGAAAAAACCTTCCAACAAGTTTTCTGAGAAAACTGATTCTTGCGACAGCCCACAAGAGCCATGACAGCTTAAGCCAGTAAGTCAAATGCTGGGTATTGGATGACATTGTTTTAAATCACAGCAATTACATACACATTTTTCTTTGCCACCATGTTCACAGCAGTGAGGCCAACTATCCAAGAAGCATGCGGGGCTCTTTCTATGGAGGTAAAGCCCATGGAGAGCAAAACTGACCATTCACTTCCACTTTCCTATCTCCCTTCATGGTGTATTTCTTAGGCACAAGGTCAATTTTATATTTTCACAATATGGTCAATGAATGAATTCTTCTCCTCTTATGGAAACACTTTGAGGCATTATAACATGATATTGTACTTTGCTACTGTGCTCTAGGATTGGACATAAACACTAGCCAACCTAAGACAACCGTAACATGCACCTGACATATTTTTCAAAGCATGAGTAACAGAGACTGACAAATGCCAGTGTGATCAGGAGAAAATGGGCTGACAAGAATGTTTCTGGAACATATCACAGCTTTTATATCAAGAATTTAAAATATAGAAATACAGTCTTCAGGAATTCACAATCATTCCAATAAAACATTGTTAATATTCTTGGAGAATGACATCCATGTTGTAAAGGATTGCTTTGTTGACAAGAATGAGGGGTTACTAGTATTCTAATCTGGAAGACAATGCTACAGATATCAAAGCAACAGAAAGAATGCCCTATAAATAATAAGCCATTAGACATTAATCAAACTGAGTAAAATGGCCTCATCATCAGTTGCGCTACAATCCTTTTCGGGTCTTGGCTTCCTGAGAGGTTTCTTGGTCTTGAAGTGTGCATTTATGAGTAGTGAGTGACCAGCCCACTGACTCTGCACAATTTCTACTCAATCCCTATTTGACCGCCAGAGCCATCTAGCAGTGAATCAGGAGACTTGGGTGAGAAATGGCTGTGGAATTTTGCTTACAAAACATCTCATATCATGCTCATAAGGTTCTTTTACATGCCATAAATCTACGACGTGGGACCACTTCCCCTCTTAAGGAAGTTGTGCTACGGATTTTTATCACCCTTAAAAAACCATTGATCTCGGCCGGGATTGAACATGTGAACCTTGGGCCCAGTGGCGAGCACGCTAACCACTAGTCCACCGAGAGTGACGAGTAAAATGGCCTAATAAGTACTATTAAGCGCTGTCTCATCATTTTGTCTATTCCTTCGAAAGAAATCAAAGGCAATTTGACAGAAAAGGGACTTATGTACTGGCCACACAGCCACCAATTAACAGTATAGAATTCTACTGCCTCTTCGCCTGAATTATAAATATTGGCACCAAGCAGCTGTACAGTTACTTAGCACTGAAGATGCAGAAAATTAGATTTTTTGAAGTATTGCCAAACCAGCCCATCACAACACAGTGCCATTACCCAAGAATGGAAGGAAACAACACAAGTAGAATAAGTTTCAAACATTATAAACATCTTGATATAAATGGTATTTCTGTAACTTGTGGTAATAAGCCAGGATTAACAGACATGTGCAGGTTTTGTGACCTAAAAGATTTATTGTAAGATCAGAAGAAGAAAAAAGTCAGAGACCTTTCTTACTACAAGCATCTACGCTGCTGGGACATATGCAGAAGCAGAGTTTGAAGCACACACCTAATAAGTTGAAAGGAACACATCCTGTGGCAATCCAGTAACAGATAATACATATTTTCACAAATTCCATTTCTGTAATTTTGCATACTTCACTGGCCTTGATCATTTATTGCAGACACAACTGCAAAGCTAATGACAGTACAGTTACCACAATACTGCACAGAGTAAAAATTATGTTTTCAATTCATACAACATTCACTAAACTGAAAAAGTTTGATCTTGCAATTCAATTCCCCCCTTTTTCAACACAGATGTTATAATGACCAGTACAAACCAAAATTAAATTTGATCAATTTTCACTCTTGACATACAATACAAAGTTAGATTTATTGGTGTAGTTCCTAAGGCGAAACATAAATAGTCAGACACAACCTTATAACAGTGTTGTTTTCATTAATTTTGTATGAAAAAGTAACAAAAACAAACTCACGACATTCTGAGAATAGCCAAATTCTCTAAGAGTTGCAACTAACATATAACCCTCCAAAGACACTTGCTACGAACAAGACAATAAACAAGTATTACCAGAATTTTGAAAAATGGGCAAAAGAATAAGAAGCAATTGTTCAGCAAGAAATAACCATGTCTACAGAAATGTGAGACCCAAGTAGTACACAGCATGAAGAACTTACTGCATACAAAACCAAAGTCTGGCCAGTTTCCACTAACCACATAAACTCTTTACTGTGGTATCCAGTATTTTGTGAGCATTTTTCATAAGTTGTTCTATATTAACGTATGGCAAATCTGAAAATTAACTGCTTACAGATCATATTTTACCATGTAGATTGCAGCTTCAGCTGATGACAAAACCAAGCTGCTTTTTGATCAAACTATATTATTAGTCATCAGAAAAATATGAAACACCGACTAATGCAACTTTTCATTTGAAACTGACACATGTATGCATGAGCATTACAGATCCATCAATGCAGTCCACATGCCACTATTCTGCTGTAATTCATGCTTTGTGTATGTTAACATGCTGGTGTAACAAAGCCTTGCAAAGAGAGAAGACTAAAAATTGTTGACATGGTCCCAGTGTCTATACTTAATATTCATTTACAAAATGTCAATGTGTGTTATGGTCTGAAAAACAAAATAATCTTAAGTTAAAATGCCTGCTTGGATCAGTCCAACACGTAAAATTTACATGTCACACAAAATGGTAACAAAAATAACATGTGCTAGGATTTTGTCTGTACATGCTGAATTATCAATATATATATATAAATCAAGTCTGCTCATTGCATACCATATATGTATTTATGATCAAATTATGTATGCTCCATATGTACCTACACTGTAGTCAAATAAATTACATTTTTCAGTTTTTTATGCTTCTTCATATTTCATTAGAAAGTTGTGCACATATTTTGCTGACAGCCGCATTAAGTTATTTCCCATTTAGGAAAGAAATGCTCCTTTTAATATAAACTGCATGAAGCAGAATGCAGAACAAAACTCTATAAAGCGAAAACAATAAATGTTTAGCCAGACTACTTTCCATTACTCTGCCCTATTCTGATTGTAAACATACTACATTTAATACAAAAAACTTCACATTAATTTTCAATATTCATCCTTCAGTTCAAAGTAATGTTCACATGTTCTGTATATGAGAGTGAAAGAAAACAGAATGGAATAAGTTTCACCTGTAACTTCTGAGCTCACTTATACCCAGTTTCTTTAACAGCAATTTAAGCGAGAAGAAGTACAAATAACAAACACAAACAACTCCAAACAAACATCTTAACTAGTCAAAGTTTCACTAACAGAAGCAGTAACCAATTTCGAAGTACTATAACATGGCCAGTTGGACAGCTGTACCGCAATGCTGACAAAACCAAAAGACACCCAGAAAAATAAGAAGAATGGAGGGCAATATCTAACCTAGTGTTTTCTGCTGCTGTTGAGTTGATGAATGCATGAAAAACAGAGACAAGAATCAATGTGTGTAGGAGACTGGCCTGGTCGTGTACTTTACCTGGTGCGTAACCGAACCAAGCCACTCACTAGGCCTACATAAATCTCATCACTTGACTGCACCAAACGACCAAGTGAGTGAGTCGGTGGTCTCGCTTGCTCAGCCGCCATGGCGTTCCATTCCCAGTAGTTGGGCGTACGCACAGCTGCATCATCTAACAGAGCCAATCCCAGTGTCGGGGGGGAGAGAACAACAAGAACCACTGTTAATAATAGAGAAACAAACCAGCTGACTGACGGGAAGAAAACACCTGCTCTCAAACAAAATCATCTCCAGTCTTGTTTCCGAAATCTCTACAGCAAGTTTCCAACAGTGCTAAGAAGAAACTCCAGTTATCCGAATCACTGCACACAGCCCATCTGACAGAACAATGTTACTGACTGCCTGGCACTCCTGCTTCAAATGCAGGAGGTTCCAGGTTTGAATCTTGACCTGGAGACCAGCTTCCTGACTGAAGTTTCTCATGGTTTCTTCAGTGCCCCAGGCAAATAATGGGATAGTACCTTTCACAGGTAATGACCACTTCCCTCAATATCCCTTGCAATTAAACAATCATTCACAAAGGTTATACCATTCAATGCTATATAACCTATCAACTCAAAAGAGTATAATTTAATACAATAATGAAAATAAGGTAAATGGTGTTCTTCTGGCAAAGTGTACTGTTATGTCATAAACAAATACAAATTCTAAAAAATGCAGCCAATGAGATGCGTCACAATTCCAAAATATACTGCGCAATATTCAGATAACAAGAGCTTTCTTGATCATTTTCTAAGGATAAAGTGTGGGGATCTCAGAATGCCACAGATGTGAGAAAAAGACAACAACTGAAGCCCAACCAAAGGCTGATAATAACATAATAATCAGAAAAAATTCAATTAAACTCTGAAACCCTTCCCCACTTTGAATAGACAGGAAAGGACCTGGGAAGGAAGCGCAGCAGCCGTAATACCCTGTAGATGTATTACCACCAGTGCAATCAACATTTCAACGCATTAAACTGTGCACAACTAACTCTGTGCAGCTGAAACACCCAACCAGCCAGGCTTTAAGTAACTAGTGGTTCTACATCTAGGGAGCAGCACTGTGCAGTCATTTCAACTCAAGATTTGATGTCAGAGTACTAGTCCAGCATACGTTAGCCTCTGTTTTGGTCTGAAAAGTCAGAATGACTGTTTGCAGTACATAAGATAATGCACGCGAAGTTTTCATGGAGTTGCACCTTGCAAAATATAAATAAATATTTTAAATTACTGATAATTCAACCTTCAGAAATTTTGTGTTCACCCCATAAAAACTTACAAATTATTGCAAGCGTGGTGTTGAGTATTGAGGGAGACAGTCTCCTCTCTCCCATCAATACTGAACGTAAGTGATGCCCATACATAACAAATCCCTATGCAAGACAAAAAGTTTTGTTTATGCAGACATTTATAAAAAAAAGTAATGTGCCCAAAAGTATTACACATGGAAATGTGGGCATATATTCTAGAATATAAAAATGTTATCTTAAGAACAGACATTACATTGTTATGATAAGGCAGCACTGCATGTTCTGGGTTGAGGACAATGCGCTGTCCCCACCACAGGGTTAGTGGTACCCAGGAAGAAAATCAGTCGCGTACAGTTACTTCACTGTGCGCAGAAACTGAAATGAAATATGCCGCCTTGCTCATTTCAAGGAAAACCTCACTCTGAAGTAACAGTACCTGACCAATATACTGGAGATCACTGAACATGGTTCCTTCACACTCATACAAGTCACACAGTAGTTTCATAATGAACTGATTTTATCCAAAAAAAACAATTCCTGATGTATGAACTGAACAAGTATATGGAATTAATACAAAACTTGAAGGGACCATGTTTAAATAGAAGGGCAAATGTTTCAGCTGTAGAAGTGACACTTTCATCTCCTCACCAGAGCTCTGCACAAACAGGAACATTATAGATTACTCTTTCATACACAGAGCAATTTTTTGAATTCTTTAGTAAGCAATGACATTCTATTTCCTCATACAATGAAATGGCTTGACTTTGTCACAGAATTCACTTTATCTTTAGAAAACATCACCCTATTCACAGAAAAAATGGTAGTTCAAAACATCATTGTATCATGATGAGGATGAAACTGATGATTTTATTGGAGGATACAAGTTAGACACTACTAGAGAATGCATGTTGGGCAGCGCAATCTGGACTCCACTACAGGAGTAAGTTGAGGGAAGGTAAAACCAGGAATATCAGGAATTTAAGTGAAAAAAACATGTTGCAAGAGGGTAAAATTTAGACTTCTGAGAAAGAAATTTGGGGCAGACTAAAACCAGGACCTTCTAGAAAAAGTACATTGGGGGAAGGATAAAATTTAGACATCACTGGTAAAAGATCCTGGGATAAAGGTTAACAAGTATGACTTTTAATCATGAACATCATGACAAACATATGCTATTCATTGGGCTAAAGTGTTGGGAGGTCTTACCTTAGCCTCATCAAGTCGACCCAGTGCTTTGAGAAGATTCCCCAAATCACTTCTCACACAGTACAGGTCCTGCAACAAAATAATATATTGTTAACAACATTAACAATACCAGTACTCTCTGGAATACAATGACATTCTAAACATATTCTTCATGTATCAGGAGAACCAAGGAAACAATGCTACAATCGTATCCAAGTTGAATGTTGCAACAATGTGATGAAAGACATGACAGACAGAAGTAATGGCACAGGATTGCCCATAAGTTGTTCACCTACAAGCACTTAAAAACAGAAAAACTAAACTGTGAAGCTACTTACTAAATAAACTTCTCCACTGTATGTTATTCATCTACCTTATTTATTTTCAAACAATCTTCCTCAGCATACTATTCCTTAACACCTTCAATTTAGATGCCTTACTCAGACAGAGGGAGAGAAAGAAAGATTCACATATTCTTAACTTTAACACTGCATAGGAGTGGTCAGCTTTATGTTCCAGCCACTACAACCCCAGCACCCACTAGATAGCTGAGTGGAACCCAGAGCCAGCCTGGATGTGGTTGTAAAGAGAAAAACCTGTGACCATGCCTAGAACTGAATCCTGACAGTTCAACAAGAGGCCAGTCTCTTTACTGAGACATCTCAATTATTCTTCATTACTACTTTATTTAATACACCCTACCACTAATCATGCACAATGATAAAGAATGCCATGTCTGCATCTGTTAGACAGGGACAGTGAATGGTTAGAAGTGGTTGGGCTTAGAATATCCCCTCATGCATATGTGCTGCAGCAAGGGATCAATAACACCTTCCTTCCCTTCAATACCCTTAACAGCCAACAATCTTCACACAGCTGTCAGGGCAGGAAATATACTGGCTATGGAAAAGTACTACAACCTGCCTCCTAAGGGTTATCCAAGACTCCAAAAATGCTGTTGGTCCTCTACACAATGCAGTGGGGAGCATGGAAAATTACAGTATGAGTCCCCTACTGTGACTTTTTCTTCTTATTGTTACTATCATACCTTACATGACATCAAACATGATCTTCAAAATCCTTGTTTTTTGTAAGGATACCTGTTTAACATGCAAATGATGAACTGAAAAGGTTGTGGAAAGAAACAGTGGTGGGTTATGTTAAAGCACCACACCCTTAATTTGCAAGAAGGGACTGGGGTAAACAAGGATAAATGGCCTCAGATTCAAACCTACAGAAGCAGGAGTGTTGACCAGTGAACTATCATCACATAAGCCTTCACGGTGGGGTGCTGAAGCCATGATACAACTTTACCTTTGCCTTACGCCATCACAAAATCAAAAGGAGCTTGTTTAGGTTCAACCAAACAAGACTTAAATCATGTATTTAAAAATCAATGCATACAGATTCAATACTATACTATATGATATGATATAGTGATATAAACCGATCCTGATAAATGAAACTAAGCCCAACAGGCAATTATAACATGGTAAGAGAGTATCCAGCCTGTAGCCATATACTTTACTATGGAACCATAGATTATAATTTATATGACAGTAAAATGGTATGGTTTGGAAAACAAAGGCATAGCAAATTTAAATCAGCTGCTAAGCAAATTTATGGTCATGATTACCATTATAAAAAGCAGTGAGACCAAAGTGTGAGAACAGAAGTAATACTTAAAGCTGTCTCTATATTTAAGCAAAGCATACAAAGTGCAATGGTGGTGACACATTCCTAACTTTTATTGTAATGGAAAAGGGGATTTAAACCCCCCCTACTGCAGGGCTTATAGATGGACTTGGGACTTTATGATTTATGGTTTAGTGGTATACTATTATGACCTATGGCCAGCCAGACTGTACCTAAACTGTGACCCAGGTCATTAAGGGTTAATCCTGACATTAAATAGAGCCAGTCAGTAGGATGATACAATGGTAACAGTACAGAACACAAGGTACCCATTTTGAATATTACAAGTACTACTACTGCCTATCTTAACAGGTTTCTTGTGGATTTCATCAGTCCCTTCAGGTAAATGCTGGTATAGAATCCATAAATGTGCCATGACTGCCTTCTTCCAAATCCATTCCTACCTGCCATTCAAGCATCATCTACAAATCTAATTTGAAGCTATATAACAATATAAGAATCAATCAACCAAAGCCAGTCCTGATGTGGTGGCAAAGGACAATCTTTCCACTGTCAGGAATCAAACCCTGGCCATTCAAAACATGTTAAGAGTAGAGAAACAATTTATAACTTATTTTAATGAAGGTCAGGAATTCCATTACTCTGTTGTATGATGATTTAAATTACCTTGACAAGGTAGGCACACAACTGTGAAATTTATCAACACTTGCCTCACATTCAGTTAAAAGAAAATGTGTTAATTAAGCCATTACTGAGTGTCATATTTTGTGACTAGTATTCTTGTTTCATATTTATGACACACAGGATTTAAATCTCGGCTAGGATATTTGTTATCCAGATGACTCCTATGGATCTCCTTTGCTGCCCCACCCCCCCCAAAACTCACAAAACAGAGAACAGCTTCCTTCCACATACTTCCTAATAAACATTCCTAATCATGACAATTACTCAACTGATGCTGTATAACTAGTATCATAAAACAGAACAAGAGAAAACACACAATAACTATATTATGATCTGAACTTTAGAGGTTCCAGTTTTTTAAACACAAAAGACCTCTTTTCATTTACACTTTGGTGAACATTCCTACATAAATCATTTTAAAATGTCATTTCACCAGCCTCTATCATCACAATCATTAGCACCATCTGCTCAAATTCCCCTCTCAGCTGACAACAGCCACATACACAAACCTAGATGAGGCACAAGTTCAAGTTCAATGAGTAGTGCATGGATGATAGCCAAAAGATATACTATAAACACACATTTCAAGGTCATTTGCTGTCAAATGAAGATAAGTGCAGCTGAATTTTTATGTTGCCTAAAGGACATATTTGTCGCTAAATTTTCTATAAGCTAATATTTTTTTAAATTTCATATTTGAACTCCAGATTTTTTCAGAAGTTTCTGTCAAAGACAAACTGCCAATAAACATGCCCACATTTATTCCTACATACACAGCATTCCTGATATATCAGAATGGGCTGAGAAGAAACTTTCACAAATGTATGTACTCAAGGGAGCAATTAAGTCTGCTGCCACTTCCCATCATTGTTTTGTACTCTCTCACAACAGTGCTCCACAATTCAAGAAGTAAGACTTAGCATATGTCATAAATTTTTAACCTTAACCAGCTACAAATCACAGCTTATAAACAGTTGAGCTGGGCATGTAACAGAAGAGTACACCAGTAAGCCATTAACCCTAGCCCCATAGTACAGGGGTATAAATCCCATACTTCCATATGACAAAGGTTAATATATTTTTTGAAGATATCGGTCTTCTGGGTTGTTGCGCTGTGTAGTCTGGTTGATGTTAACCAACGTTTCAGAGGTCATACTGCCTCCGTCATCAGGGCGATGAGTATGAAGATTTCTGTCTTCTGGTTATTAAAAAAGGAAGGCTTTAAAAAACATGTAGGATTAGAGGTTTTCACAGCGGTCAGTCTGAAGATTGTTGTCTTCTGGGTTGCTGTGCTGTGTAGTCTGGTAGATTTCCACCAAATGTGGAAATCTACCGGACCACATGACACAACAACCCAGAAGACAACAATCTTTTAAAAACAGTTGTAATCAGAATTTTAATGATTTAAAATTATTCACGAAAAAATAGAATGTAAAACACATTTGTGTAAAAACATGTTTTAATAAAGGCATAATACAAAACCAGAATGCAGTTTGAGGAAAGAAAGGAAAAATTACTGGAATCATACAATATGTTACCGTCTATGATCCTTCTACGCTTAAATCATTTGCGTGTGATATTTAAAGCAGGATAGTGGTGATAAATGTGCCCCAGAATTTTATGTGACAGTGTGTATGCAGCAACCAAAAAAGTGATAATAAGAAGAATAAATAATTTATGTTGTGCACAATATAGCCCTTGACAATAAACATATAAGCCAGATCACTATTTAGTCATTTCGTCTTGAACATTCCTACAGACAGCCAAGTAATCTAAAATGCTCGCAAACCTGCCCATCACAATACAGTACCAACCAAATGTAAATATGACAAACTTGCACTCTGTAGGCACTTACCGGGTTGTACTGCAGAGCTGTAACATAAGCCTGAACCGCCTGTTCCATGTCCCCAGCAGCCACCAATGCAGCAGCCAGGTTGATGTAACCATCTATGAAATCTGGTTTCAAACGTACAGCATGGCGGTAATTTTCCAAAGCTTCTTGCAACTGTCCTCGTTCTTTGTAAACGTTCCCAAGGTTGCTATATGCTTCTGCTAAGAGTGGATTTTGCTTGATGGCCAGTGTACTGAAGTGTGCAGACCTTAAGATAAACATAACCTTTAAGTTATCAGGAATCATGCACGTAAACTGACTTTCACCTATTTATCAATTATATTGGTTTAGTATAAAATTACTGGTGAGAAAATGAACCAGGAAGTATATCTTCAGAATTGAAAAATGTATATAAAAATAAAACACAACAACACTATTTTATATATATGCATACATAGGTCCCACTATTTGCATATTTATATTTAAAATACTAACAGGAACATGTTTAACAAGACATACTCTCACTAGTTCAGAAGAATACATTAAAACATTAATTTGTTTTGAACAGTAGGAGGCGAGTGGATATGGTTAGTACAAACCATTCTCTTGTTCAAATCTGCCAACACAAAATTTATGTGAATTGATTTTCTAATAACATTTTGTACAAGAACCTTGGCTGCTCTATTGCAAACTCCACAGAAATAACTAGCTCTTTTATCTGAACTCTATAGTAAGATCACTTGGGGGAAGGGGGGGCTGGTGAAGCAATCCCATGCAACACAGCCACACTGGAATATTCCGAAGGTCACTTCCATAAGGGCATGGCTTGTACAGTATATTTCCTGAAGGAAATGAGGGAGGACTTGAAACACACATATTTGCGAGGATTTTAAACTGTCTCATTTTTGTGGTAGCAAAACAAATTGTACTAACGCCCCCTCTCGTTATGTGTGCTTCAGTTAAGCCCCTGTATGACAGGAAACATTTCCATTAACTTATTTTGAAAAACTGAACAGACTCTCCAGATGTTGAAGAATAATCTTTATTATTATGTACTCTACTGCATTAACTGTTTCTGATGCTATTAATTGTGCGAGATGAATAAAACCATTAATAAATACACCTGTAGTTTATTCAATAATACATTCTCAACTATATATATAGTATAGTTTGTAAGAATGATTGGGGATGATCATCTCAACACTGAATAAGAGAAAGTAAATTTCACTTAAATCCAGGGTTCTGGACTTCTAAAACAGTTGAGTGCCCTCAATGAACAAGAAACTCTTAAAATTTTATAATTAAAGCTCAAACATAATATACATTGTCATGACAAACCAAACATGAAGTTCTGAGAACAACTTAATACCTAATTTCCCTTGTATGTTTACTCTATATGGCAATACTAACAACTGCAAATAAATAATTATAAAATTTAGCAACCAACTTTTGTGCATGATTTCTACTAATCTTAGTTGAGACAATGTTAAACAGTTCCATAAAACATCAAAAATTCAAACTCCCATCTTTATAACAACATGCAAGAAATGGTTCATATTGAATGTGTGTTTATAGTCTGTCTTCATACAAATTTCATGTGTGTAACCCCGATTCATTATTTACTGCCTGCCAACAAACTGAAAGCTGTAACAAATGCAAAGGCTACAAAGTGTCAAATGTGAAAAGGCAGGGTATTATAAACAGTGTATTAAGAATGAAACAATAAGGGGCCCTCACTGCTCCTACTGCAGTGACTTACACATCTTTCGCATTTGTATTATTACTTATGAAAGGAATTTTTAAAAGTATGAAAGTTCATGGAAATCTATCACACAGTTCCAAAGTTACTGGGGTAGGAAAGGTCAGACACATGACCATCACATCATAAGCCCTTTTTACCGTTTAAGATAAGTAGTCTAAAAAGAGTTATTTTTGTTCATTTGTTTCCATTTTTCATGTGGATAAATACTTATTAAGTGTATAAAATCTCTGTACAATTCAATGTTTCACTTCCCACCAATGGGGCTTAATTTTAGTTACTAATTATACCACAGTTTTATATCTAAAGTGACAAAGTTGTGTCAACTACACAAAATTGATGGTATACAACACAAAGATAATCTGAACTGAAAATTGTCTGAAATGAGCTTTTACATTATTCCTGACAAATGTGAATGACACTTACATTGAAGTTGTATAAGAACTGTCCTCCTCGTCTTATCAAAGCAGGGGGAATTAGAAACATCAAATTGAATCTAATGACTTAACAATGTGTCACTTATTAGAATATGTAAATGTTTCTGAGAAACACAAAACATTTCTACTATAAAGAACGCTTGTCATAATACTTACAGATGGATTAATTGTGAAATCTTAATTAATTATCTTATGTATTATTGCATTTCTAAGATGTTTACTGACTTTCATTTTGTACATCAAGAATATGTCATTCAGATAAAGACAGGAATATTTTTTAGCCTGATTTTTAATACTAGAGTTGACATCCCTGTGCAAAAATGAAATAGCACTAAAGCTCTCAGCCCAGACAATTCAACAGGGTAATGATGATGGAAGCAGTAATAAACACTTCTATGCACACATACACAGGAAAAACCAATAAATTTGTATCACATATCAGTCTAGAAATGGGCTCACAAAATAGTATAAGTCACAACAAATAATTTTAGTATATGTAAACTTACTTTTCAAGTCGACGGCACTGGAAGTGTATGGAAGAAAGCAGTAGCAAAACCCCAGTATTATTTGTTTCCTGGCGCCATAACTGCATACAATGGCGCTCAGCATTTTCATAGTCACCTGCTTGATATTCACGATGAGCTAGTTCCAAAAGCCCTAAAAACAAGAAGAAAGGATGGAAAATTTTATTTATAGATTGTCTGGCTCTTCTGTTTGGCAAATGTCATTTTAAATATTTATGAATATAAATTTATTACCACTTGATTGACCATTGTGTAATCATAAAAACTTCAATGAAATGAATATATAATTTTAATTTACAGTCAACAACCCAACCATATCACTTTTAGCTACAATTTGAACCAGCAAATAACTGGTTTTGGAGTAACACACAAAAATAAACCTTGTGCAGTCAGAAGATTAATGCTTCCTCGGTATCTACCACTGACATGATTGCAACTATAGACAAAATTGTCAACAATATATGCAGTGGCAGAAATTTGAGACACAAAATTGTTCTCCCGAATAAATTAAATAGTTTTCAACTCTAAAACAAAATGTTCAAATCATACCAAATACCGAAAATATAAAACATTAAATACAGTGTTCATAACTCATATAATTAATTATACACTGTCGGGGTCCTTTCCCGGGGGTAAAGCACGGTCGGGGCGTGATGCTGACCACTCACCCCCATCTAGTGCCGAGGTCAAGAATGAGTAGGAGCTATACCACTACTCCCCCCAAACGCCTACATGGCGTATAGTGGGCCAGCTTTACTTTACTTTTAATACTAACACTGCACCTTATTGCATAATTTATTTTTGTAATGATCTCACGATGTCCACAACCGAGTACTAAATAAAAGTACAATCAAAAGTTGATCAATTTCACTAAACGGTGGAAGGGCCAGCCACAAAATATATCGATCCATTAAGTCATATGGCCAATTACTGTACTTGATTATATTCTACTCTTTTATAATCAGACATACCGACAGTAGAGAGCTGCTGAATATCATTCATTTTGAGAATGACATTGGCTCCTGTAATCTGCTGATGCTGGGCTTGTTGCTGCGCCTGCATCGAAGATGCCCACGACTGTGGTGTTTATATAAAGTACTATAGATGTCAAATAACGAAAAGCAGGTAATAATTTCACTGTTTAAATAATACTTCTATTATCATGACCTATTCCACGTTGAGAAAGACCATTCAAGATGGATGCAACTTTAGGGTGTTTGGTGACTAAAATAGATGGCGTGCTCAGCTGATAATGATTCTGATTGGCTATATAGCACAAAATTAATCTACATAAATTATATAAAATAGAAAACATCAATAAACAAAAAATAATATAAAGAGAATGTTATTCAATACCAGGAATGGGTCACTAAAATTTTAAACATCAATGCTTTATTAAAGTTCTATTACATTACGTTCCCGTTACCAATTTCAGGCCAAAGATGTCACTAATGAGTAGTGACGAACATGACATCTGCCAGCAAATTCTAGAGTTAGCTACATTTTCTTTCCGTGGCTCAATCGAACACGGTAACCTTCTACCAGACTACATGTTACATTTAGGAGTCGATAAACTTCACATCTCATGTTTTATTTATCACAAGGATGGAAGTGTTTAAGGCGAATCAAAATTGGGGACTAAAACTGCGCAAACGTAATCTTTTATCATATTGATCAATTTTAATTAATACTGTAGGGAATATTTATAGAAGTAAGCTCAAATATGCATGCAACTTATTTTAATATTTTACTCAAGTAAGCTGAAAGAAGTCTGCTGTGCAGTATTTAGTAATAATTTAATGTAAGATCAAAACAGGAATTATACTCTTAATACAATAATTTTATACTCTTAAGTAAAGTGGTCGTTAAAATTACCAAATCCAAATGAAAATTGGAATGGTTCTACAAACTTTTCGAAAAGTTTTCAAATATTAAATTTAATTAAAATCGCGTTATCAGCCCGAAAATTGATCTGTGCTAACGGCGAAAGCTAATCACATCAGCTGCGCACGAACACGCAACATATTTCTGCCAACGTTATCACCCCTTCAAAGAAGGTGGAGTCTTCAGAAATTATTTTTTTCTTCGTTGGTTAACAGTCAAACAATGTGGGGTATACTTATGGCGCAAAATATCCTCGTATTCGGAGAAAACGATGTCGATATTGGTCTTCTGAATTGTTACGCCACGTGGACGTCCTCACCGCCATGAAAATTCCAAACAAACATTGACGGTGCTTTTCGATCGTTGCGAGGCAAGGTAGGAGATAGGCATTATGATGCTGCTGTTTACTTTTAGGTCATAACAGTAGAATATTCTTTCATCATCTAGCGATACTTTTTAATTAATCTTGTCCGTCTAATCACAATTTAAAATTTAAAATTAAGATAGTTAAAATACCATGTGATGCTCCTTATCGAAACATTCGATTTACATTTGGAACATCACTTTCTTACTACATGTTTCGGTTCTTAGATGAACCATCTTCAGGTGTGTAAAAATTACAATTATATAAACTTAAAACTTAATCATAATTTCTTATGACACTTTTTAAGTTTTAACCGGTTTTTCACAATTCAAACACGTGAAAAGCAACAGAGCAATTTTTTTTCTGTTCTTACACTAGAAGTCATAGAACGACCTTGACTGAGAATTGCATCCTTTACAATCATCAATTAAGACGAGCCTTTTCACGAACATGAAACTTTACGTAATTTGACACAAATAAATAATTCATTTTAGACAGAGCTTAATCGTCTCTCTTGGATCAAAATCTCATTTCCAAATGCTATTTACACAAAGGGGTAACGTTTGGCCAAATGTTTCTTGGAATTATGCCAGTAATGGAAAGTTATTCGTTAGATAAAAAATATCAGAATGAATCTTAGGGAAAAGGGTTGGAGGATGTGGATTACATTCATTTGGCTCAGGATTGGGACTAGTGACAAGATAATAAACATTTGGATTCTATAAAAGGCAGGGATTTTGACTAGTTGAGAGTTTTATCAGATTCTATAGAAGGGGTTCTACTTAAATTTACCTTCTTCCGGCTGAAAAGAAGCATAGAATTTTCAAGAATAACTGCCACAAGTTTATGCTCGATGTACAGAGGCCCGTACAGACTTGTTTCCAATCTGATAAGCTTCTTAATTCTTTCCCAAAATTAATTATATATATAAACAACATATACATTCACTTTGTTGCATTTTTAGAGTGGCCTAAAATTCATTTTTATTCCAGAAAATTTCTTACAACTTTATGTTTTCCATAATTATTTCGAAAGTAACAAAAATTAAGAGTCTGCTGTGGGACGGCGAAAGTGATTTTCAAGATAATTCCAGCACAGCACTAACAAAATACAGTGTCCCATAGGTTACAGGCTGCAGAGGAATTTTGTCATTTGGTAGAGTACGGAGAAATGTAAAGAGAAAAATGTTGTTGCAAATCAGTTCATTACCAAGAGCGAAAAGTTACCGTGTCGACATAACAGCGAAAGATGGATGTCATTCCCAGAATAAGGGGATGCAATAGTAGAGGAGACAAGTTCTACATGAAACGACGAAACAAGGAAAACAACAACGACTAATGAGCTGTGATGTCATTACGCCGTTGTTTATGTGTGCGGCGCCATTACTAAACACGCCCCCCCCAGTGAACCTTGTGACGCAGAGCTGTAAAAAGTGTACGGAAACAACCATAATGACTTTGTTATGGGTTGTCCCTACGAAAACTTAGAATCCGCGTATTCCTGGTGCATGTGTGACAACTGTCGAGGTCTGTGCATTGTATTCATGAATGGAGGGAGTCACGAGGTCGGGCCGCGAGTGGCGCTGATTGTTTCACAGAGTGACGGAGTCGTCGCCATGCTCCGGTACGCTCGCAGTCGCCGATACGGTAGCGTCCGGTGCTGGATCGAACCTCCGGGAGTTGGTGAGTGACCTGTCTGGTTCCCAGCTCTAGCAAGTAACATATTATTCATGAACGCGACGTGCCAGCTATGGTTTCAATCGTTTCTACGAAGATGAGAAGACTTTTGTGCATTTTATAGATTCAGTTGTTAAAAATTGTCGAGATGTCAAGATGAAGTGTATGTTTAAGTGCCTGTGGTCGCCCCTAAACTACGATTGGTTTAATTTTTTTGGAGAGTTACTGAGCTTAAAGGCGAACGTATATTCACGAATTCGTTCATCCATTTACATAAACTTACAAACCAACTTTGTATATGCAGAAGCAAAACGAGGGAGACAATAAAAGAAGTGGGGGGGGGGGGGATTGTTAGTTTTACTAGTAGAACTTGTTTCCCTCTTATGCAAATAACAAATTTTCAATTGCATACGATACATAGAATCGAACTTGAATACTATCGTCAATGATTAAGTGGAAATAATGTTCAAATATGGAAAGTCTGTGTAATATTGTGCTAGTGTAAACTTCCTGTCAAAAATTAATATAATTACGCTGTCAAATTAACTGAAATGTGAGATATTTTCCTGCTCTGTTGCGAATTTAAGGACATAAATAAAATTATATGTAAGAAATGGAAGAATATCCGGAGAAAGTATATTGAAAATGGAAATAACAGTATTAACTGTACGGATTAACCGTGAAAAAACAAAAGACGTTTTTCCATTCAGAAAGTTATATTACTTCGTCTTTGATGCAACAAAATTAATAAAGGGAATAAGTGATCCTACGAAGACTTTCTTTTTAAATGTTCTTTGCAGAAAATGGATATAACGGAGGCATAACGGTGATGCAGTGTCCACTTGTTCTTGATTTATTTAACGACGATTTTCAACTGCTTAAGTTATGTACAGTGGAACGTCCGCACGTAGGATCTCTCAAAGTAGTAAAAGGATTTGGGATTACCGACACAATTAATACTAAAGGTTCTGCATTAAAAACTTACAAGATAATTTAATAATCGGCAGTATCGGTTTACTGCTACAAAGGTCTGAGACAAATGAAACATAGTTTTTAAAATATTGTATAATACTAAATTACTTGTGATACACATTAGAAAATAACAAGCATGTAGTCTATTGTTCCATGATTCATTGCTTATTTAACCAGACTTTCCCAACTGTATATTTTATATCACGTTCAAAACATGATCTACTAGATTTAACTGCGCTAAAGCCGTTTGACACAGAATTGCATTACATGTGCTTTGAATTTAAATAATTAATTAAATTAACTCAGCAGATTTCAGCACAATACTTAATTAAATTAACTCAGCAGATTTCAGCGTGAACGCCCAATACCAAATTCCATCGAAATCTAATGAAAATTTTGGACATTACACACACACACACACTAACATATAAACAGCCCATACTGCGATAATGTTATGCGCTATGTGAAAATCGCCTTCATGGCTCAGGATTTTTGCTAAAAGGTTTCCTATATACTTAGCTGGTCAAATTCCCTATTCTTACGGGATTCGATTCATTGTCATGTTTACAAAATCCTGCCGCTGGAGCTATCCTGAGCTAGTTTAAACCAGACCATCACTTCATATTTTAGACACTAAATTTTACGTAAAGGAATTGTTGCCCACTAATCACAAACTTTATGAATAAAAAGAAGATATCTGTGTCTTCAGTCTTAAAGATCAAAGCAACTTATTCCTACTAACAAATTAATTTATTGAAGTGCACTTAAGTTTTGTGGATTTAGTAAGAAAATTCTCGTTGTAGGGCCTATTGAGCTCCGAAAGTGCTATATGCAGAAACAATTTTGTCAACTGTCTTACATGGCTGTGAAACACGGTCTATAATTATTTCTTTAATTAAAGTTATAACTTTAATTAAGGAAAGAATACAAATTACACGTGTTAGGAAACAAAATAATTAACATAATATGTGGACCCAATAAGAATTAAGTAAACGAAATAAGATATTACAACATAGTATAATAAAGAAATTTATGATTCGCGCAGGAATTGTTATAACAATTAAAACAAAAAGGTTAAAATACGCCGGACATTTTACTCTTGTTGGGGGGGTTCCAAGAAATTAATATGGAATTCTCTGGAGGACTCGACTTGACCATTAATTCTAATGTTATTTAAAGAACTGTTTCTAATTGCAAGGCTATGCGCCAAATGAAACGAGAATATTGTCATGAATGTCGATTAGGTAAGGATTTGGAAAATGTCGGTGGGTGATAATTTGAAGGTTTGATCCCTATATTCACGTGGACAGACTGGTTGAAACCACAAACATTCAGGACAATCAATAACCCGGCAGAGATTCGAATCTGGTACATCCTGAATATGTCTGGTGCTCAATTTCCACTGGGAAGACCAAAGAAATGGGAGGTTAACATTAAGATAGATCTTAGGAAAGAAGTAAGTGAATGAAACTGACTCAGGATCTTGTCTAACGGCGATAGATATCTGACTTATAAAACCAGAATGTAAGTTAGTCAGTCTATAATTATTTACATTTAATTTGCTTACATAAACCCAGAGCTCTTGTAATATCTTCCGGTATCAATTACAAGGGTTACAAATAAGCGAACAAGCCAAAATAAAATTTTCTGGCAGCACATCTTAGTCACACTAGTATTTACTCGCCATATGAAACGTCGCACACAATGAGCTAAGTCCTATATGAGTTCTTCATCTCATACACGAACAGTGAGAGAATTTTTGTGTGGATTTAATAACACAAATTCTGAGGGATGTTTGTTTATGCGCTGTGAAAGCAGGGACTTTACTTAACTATGTGATCTAGAATAACTAAAGCTGCAGTTCAACAAGATGAATAACTGAGTGGACTATTTGGGTGTCAGTGGAGTGGATCAAGTGTTTCTGGTGCGGACTTGAAGATTACTTAAGGGTTCACAGAAATTTGAAAAAAAAAAACCAGCCTCTGTCATGTTAAAACAGACTCAAAACTTGTGAAAATGTTCAACTGGCTTTTATAAAGTTGAAGATATCGTCTACTCCAAGGTCAGTACAACACTTCCTTTTTTAACATTATGATTATTTAAATTGGGTTTTAGTATAAGTAATAACTTAGGTACAGTGTTCCAGGAGTTTAGTATACACCCATATGTTACAAAAACCAACAAATTTCATTCACTTATACTAATAATATTTATTATACCAAACTCTTTTCGACTATCACGGGGTTATCATCAGTGGTTAAAGGGCTTACTAAGTGGTTCAATATAGCTTATGTAAGCATAGGTCATGCATGTTTTAAATGAGGAGACGTTTCTGAAAAACTTTGTAAAAATAATAAAGTTTCATAGAAAGTAGATGTGTTATTTGGAGAAATATAAAAAAATTAAATTCGTATAACTACTTTAATATAGACACAATATACCAAGTTTAACTGGAATCCTAGTAGCAGATTTGGAAACGAAATATGCTCGGACAAGCATGTATTTGAAATTATTTGTCCACGTTACGCGTTTTTGTAAAGAACATAAGATCGGTTACATATCTAATTATCCCTGTCTCCTTAAGAATCTTCCTAATCGTTAGTTTAGATATCCTATTAGTATCTCCGGGCGATGTATAAAAAGCGTGTTTATACTTTTTGGCACCATTCTGATACTTTCTTATCAAATGTCGCTGCGTAGCTGTTAGAAATCCAACTTCATATTCGGGAATTTCTGACACAAATCGCGGCCCGTTGACCGGCTATTCTAATTGCGGTTTATCGTGTTTTTCTTCTCGGTCTCTCCGGATGAATTTTGAGACAGGAATTGGTACATTAAAATATGATGTGATCACCTTTGAAATCTTTACCCATTAAACAATCAGGATCTTCTATCGTCGTCAAATAATTAGTTGGATGTAATTCCTCAGCAATTTATTCTCAGAAATCAGGTTCTTCTACGTATGGCCCTGCTCGATCTGTCTCGATCAATCTGTGTAAGTTTTTAATGCCTCTCATATTTTTCTTCCGGACTTAGGAGAGAGGAAGTGACAGAAAGATGGAAAACGTCACAAATGAAGTGCTTAGCAACTTGTGACTAATATGTTTTGGATGATTAAATCAAGACAGATGTGATTTACATGTCACGTAGCGCACATGGAGGAAAAACGAATTGAAATTTTTGTTATGGAAACCTCAAGTGAAGTCACATGGCAGAACTAGACATAGGTAAGAGGATAATATTAAAATGGATTAGAGAAAAGGGATATGAAGGTGTGGACCAAATATAACTTTCTCAGAATTGCGTCACGTGGCATCCTTTTATAAATATGGCAATGCACCTTCGGGTTCTTTACAGGCATGGAATTCTTTATTGAACTAAGTAAGATACAAATTGAACTAAGTAACTACCAACTGCCATGCAGGTACCACAGAGTTAGTTCTCATCTTTTTGATTCATTCAACTGAACCGTTTGCAGACTGTATGGTTGCTACTGTAGCTCGATACAGTGCTTCATATTTGAGTTGCTCGAAGCTCGTTGTTAGAGATAAAGCCTAAGCCACTTCTAAACGTCATTAGAACGGCAGACAGACTAATTCCTGGAAGTGTTATAAACATAAATTGCTTATAAAGCATGGACCTGAGCCAATGGCATACTAATCCTCCGGAACATGATATTTATTACGCAAACACGTTACGAAAATTGACGATGGTACAGCCCGCTTCGTGGACGATTATTTTAAGCTACTGTAAAATTTGTCTAAAAAGGAGCCTAGATTCAATTTAAAACTAGAAAAAACAGAGTGAAAATCAATATTAAGTTGTCTGTAATAAACAGAAACTGTCGAAACAGAAAGGAGAACAAAAATTTTACAAAAAGTAATGTACTTTGTTATATTGTACGTCGATTTTACAAAAATAGGCACGGCTGTCTTACTGAAATTTGTACGGAAAAATACCCTATTAAAATGGAAAGAATTAAGCACCACGTTTAATAAAGCATGCGACTGAAAAGACGGGTATAAGGGAGGCAGACACTTTCGGCACAGGTGTGTCCAAAGGGGTTTTCCAACGACGCGTCGTACATTAAAATTTACAATTGTAAATTTCAAGAGCCACATCGAAATGATCACTGCAGTCCATTATCTTGGACGCCTTTTTATATGGAAAGTCTCGTACTAAAAATTTATGATGTGTTAAAAACATTTACGTCCATGAAACGGTGCTCAGCCGCTAAAGCTTAGTAGGGTGATGGGACTGGATTATAAGCACTGTGACACACAAAGGCCTTGGAATAGTAACGTGATCCACAACAAAGTGGACAGATTGAGGATGCTGCTAACCTTACACAAGGGAAGGCTATACTGGCGTAAAATCTTTTTTCGGCCTGACACAAAAGAGAAGTTGGCTATTACGCCTTCACCATATTTCAGCTGATGTAATATAAATTCTACTGACCACGCGTGGCTTGTGAGATTTCTCGATTCAGTTAAGAAGAAGGACTGGGCGGAAAACGGAAATGGTGTTTGAAAACTTGTCTTATCTACGTGTCCCAATAACTGGGATGACCAGAATATAGATGGAAGGATAATATTAAAATGGATCTTAGTGAAACAGGATTGGAAGATGTGGATTGGAGTCATATGGCTTACGACCAAGACCAGTGGCGACCTCTCGTGAATACGGCAATGAACCTTTGGGTTCTGTAAAAGGAGGGAAATTTATTGACTAGTTGAGAGTACTATTATCTTCACAAGAACTCTATTCCATGAGTTAGTTACATCGCTCAAGAAGGCTATGGCATAGAAGAAATTGTCTCATCATAAACCATGGCCAACTTCATTGTGCCCTATGATCAGTAGATTTTTCTTTGGCCAAATTTATTAACATTGCAGGAAACACATTATTTACTGTGATATTTGAGGTTTCCACGGCGATGAGGATGGTGATATTCTTCCGGGCATTGGTGCCGTGTAGACTCGTTGGTAAATGCCAACACTTCGGAGAAATATTTTGTCATCATCTTCAGGGCTGAAGCGGCGATGCTGGTAAGTAAAGGGATTATTAATTGTGCGTTCGTTTCTGACGTGCATGTGTTATGAGTAAGGTCGCGTCTGAATATCCACGTAGGCCTACCTCCGAAATTTTTGAACAAATTATAGTAGAAATTGGTATATGGGAGTTTACAAGTTATATAATTACATTTATTTTTATCCGTATCAGTGTGCTATAACTTATATCTTATATTGAGCTCAAATAAAAGTTTACTGATTTTATACTATATAAAAACCCATACAAATATTGTCCGTAGTATAAAACACGTATTTAATTACGGTCTGCTACTTTCATTTAAAACATTTTTTTATATGTGAATGTTTAACGAGACAGTACAAGAACAAATAACTTCTGCCATGTGCGTTCATCTCATGAACATCGTGTAAAGAATGCATAATAGCTAGTAATTAACAACGTCAGCGACAACAATACTTCTCCTGTCTGTTCTTTGTAAAATCAAAATGATTTGGCGTTTCACTAATGGAAGTTATGTCTGTGATGCCATGAATTTAACTTATACACACAAAAGAAGGCACTTGCGCGAAACAAAATTCAACAATGAAAATATAGCTGACAAATCTGTGTGACGTTCTACAAAGCTTATTATGTCGGGTTAAAGAACAGGTAGCAAAATTTATTTCATATGTACTTTCATTGTTTTACTCATCTCTTGCCTTCTACTTCAATTTCATCCGGCTCCGAAGGAGTAACCGACGTCTCGTTAAATCACAAACGGCGCGGCGGTAGAGGATTTGTTTCCAAGCTGTCAGCGATGAAAGTTACAGCGACATAAGAATAACACAAGAAGCGGACAATAGCGTCATTAAAGTCAAAGTTCCTCCACTTGTTGGACTTAAATGACGGATTTAATACACAATTCCTTCTTATACTGCATCAAAAGAGTAGGGAATTTATGCAGAAGTACGATGTTTCAATGACCGGTGTTTAATCCAGCATGTTTTAAAATTGTTCTATCTCGTAAGTAAAACAGAAAACATGGACGATTAATATTTTCACTTTTCCTCTAATTCAGTTTGATGTCGTTTACTGAAAAAAAGCGTACTGGTATTTTGATCTGTGCTGAATTGATTGCGGCCATTTCGTTCGAAATCTTTTAAATTCCCGTATAACACATAAAATAATGAAGATTAAAATATAAAATTATAATTTCACCTGATACACACTAGTACGAAACCTGCGCCTCTAACCCTAAGGTAGGGTGGTCAAAAATGTTTCCTCGGACCAAGAATAATTTTCTGTTTGGTCCAAAGGCCAAGAAATCCCTCCTGGCACTAATTTGAAAACTAATAGTGGGTTTTCATTTTACTTAAAATATTTATGAGATGATAAAGTTGCGTCATATTGTGATAAATATATATTTGTTTAAATCTTGTCAGTCAAATCACAATAAAATTTCTATTAAATATTAAAATATTACTAAAATTAACATTTAAATATTTAAAATGATGTTCTCTATCGAAATGTTCGATTTACATTAGAACATCAC